TGTTTAACAGAGGGTCAGAGTCTCTTGCAGTAAGGTAAAGGATTTCGTTAGCCTGTTGTCCACGTCGTTTCTAATACATTCAAGTTTTTCCATCTCTATTGCCGTGCATCTAGCTAAACCACCTTCATGTCTCACCAGGACTTATCTCCAACATCCATATTCACCCACGAATCTCACAAACCCATACTCTTTCCAACAAATCATACTTCACCTAGCAGCCAGAGGCACTTCCTAAATAGAGTGATCACGTTATTGCCTCGTTTAAACCCCATCTGTGGCTTCCTATCATCCTTTGAGTAAAGCCCCAAATCATGAACATGTTTTATGAAACATGTTGCACCCTTTTCTCATTTGCTTTCTAATCTCTGATCATACATGGTTTCTCTCTGGTTCTCAAATGTTCCTTAAACATGTCACTCTCTCGTTCCTCCACATGCCTCGATGCTCACTGTTCTCTGTGACTGCTGTATTGTATCCACCTCCCCTCACCTGGCTAAGTTCAGTGCATCCAAGTGTGGTTGTTGTGATGCTTGGCTTTTTAATACACATTAGGCAGATACTATACATCATACAGTTGTTACCCAGATATGAAGGCATTAGAGAAGCCTTCCTTAGCCTCCAGTCTACGTTAAATTTCCATATTATGTATGTTCCTGTTAAACTAGTGCTTCTCTTTTCAGACCATTCACCTCACTGTCATTCCTTTGTCAACATCCACCCTTTGAGCTTAATTATAAGCTTCAACAGATACACCACTGAATCTCTACTGCTGGCAAATATTGAGGACTCAATAAATATTTGTTGAATTAATAAAGAAGTAAATAATTACTTCAGTTTTAACAATGCAGAATTTAGAGGAATTTCCATATAAACATATTTAATTAGAATTTGAAAAGAAGAGACTGAGGCCAGGGGGGGAACAATGTTAAGAAATCATCCTGAGAGACACTGACCTAATGATGAAAGCAGAAAAAGAGGCTGAGATTACTTGAAGACAACAAACAGTACACAGAAAAGACATCCAAAGCCATTTCAAGGGGAAGGTAAGAGTTATCAGTAAGCTCTGGAAGATGAGAAAGAAAAAGAAATTAAGTGGTTAAGAGAGAAGTTAGAGAAGAAACGGGTAGGAAAGGTGTTTCTCAGGTCCAGGGAGGAGACCATGTATCATGGGGTTTTCAGAGTAGAGTAAGTAAAATTCTATGCTAAAAAATGGTCGTGTAGAATGAGAACTGGAAATAACCCAGGATTTGGGCAACTAGGACTTGTTAATACACCCAGGAAAAGTCAGTTATGTGGAATAGCTGGAGACAGAGCAAGTTTCCATGGATTTAAGATTGAACCAAGAGGAAAGCTACAGATCAGGGGTCATGACATCACAGGGGTAAAAAATATTTAGAGGCATGAGTGTGTTTGAGGGGCGGTGCAGGGTTTTACCTGGAATAAACATGCAATGAGTATTTGCTGATTTAATTATTATGTGCTATATACGTGATAGGCTATTGTTAAATAATAAGAGAGTTTTCCTTATCATAATGGGTATTTTTAGATAGACTGAGAAATACAGAAAGTTTGACAATGCATATTGTAGCTTGAGAAACCCTAATGGTTACTGTCTTCTTAATTGTCCTTCATGCTTCGGCAAGTTCATGTGAAGCTACCCCACAGAAGGTGCACTACTGTGTAATAGACACTAAAAATACTTCTGAGATGAATGACGGCTACTTTGATTTAATAGGTCAGTGTCAAGTGTGAGGAGAAAGACTGCTTTATGCAAAAAGAACAGAAAGGAGAAATCATGCATGCCATCTAAAATTGAAGACCAGACAGTCACAGTTTCTAATAAATTGTTGTTACAAAAGGAATTAACAAGCAATCAGGAACCTCTGTTACATATCCCATAGAGTTTACATAAATTTCTGCCTGAATTGGTTATGTCTGTCACTCTCTCTATATGTACATAATAATAATGATAATAATAGCTAACATATATATATGACACTTATTTGTCAGGTACAATCCTAACTCATATAATCTCACAACAACTCTACAAGGTAGCTATCAACATGATCATCATTTTAAAGATGAGAAATGGGGGTTATGTAAATTGCTTTAAGTTATATAGGTAATAAGTGAAACAGCCAGGGTCGGAACCAAGAAAACCTCTCTTTAATCTATAGTCTTAAGTACTGTACTCTATTGTCATTTATATTTCTAAATGTTAAAGTATATTTACATAAATGTTTATGAAAGGCATGGGAACTTGCGATCTTCTTAGCAATTGATTTACTATGTTGTATAGTACTAAAATTACTATAGGTTTCAAACGTGTTAATTAACAGCATGTCTCTTATATTTTCCTTACAGAAACATAAACAAAATACAAGACTATAATGGTTAAGGCTCATATAATTCCTTCTATGAAACAATGCTTACGAACTAGAATTGAAATCAAAGTACCCTTAGAAGCTGTTGTAAAGAAATCACAATTTGAGGCCAAGTGCAAATCTAAAGCGAGAGGTCATGTTTCCAGTAAGGTTTCACGTGAATTACAGTGGATCTTCATTATTTGCAGATTCCATATTGCAGAATTCGCCTACTCACTAAAATTTATTTGTAGTTCCCACATCAATACTCATGAAGCTTTAGAGATCATTCGAGAACACAAGCGGAATGGCAAAAAAAAAAAAAAAAAATGAGAGCTGCCTGAGGTTCACATTTCTCTTTAAGGTCAAAAGAGGTCACACTCTGCCTTCTTGTTTCAGTTCTTATACTGTAAACTAGTGTCTTTTCTGCAGTATATTTATTGTCATTCTTTTCACATTTGGAGGCTTTTTTGTTGGTGATTTCAATGTTTAAGATGGCCCCTAAGTATAGTGCTGAAGTGCTATCTAGGGTTCCTAAGGGCGAAAAGTCTGTAAGGTGCCTTATGGAGAAAATATGTTATATAATCTTTGTCCGAGCATGACTTACAGGGCTGTTGGTCACGGGTTCAGTGTCAACAAATAAACTGTATATTACACAGTGTGTCTTTAAACAGAAATGTACATAAAACAAGCTTATGTATTGATCAGTTGATGAAAATGCTATGAACTTAGCTCTGTATTTCCTTAGGAGCAATGATTCAGTATTCACTAATTCAGTGTTCACTGCGAATTTATAGACCATAACTACCATGAATAACAAAAATTGACTGTATCTTTGACTTCCCTTGTTGAGGAACACTAACAGAGTATCTGTGTGGATAGTAAATTATATGTAACTTTTGTGCTTTATGTTACATAGAGTAAACATAAACAGACCATTGATGGGGACATATTTGCCTCTCTCTTCCTGAACTATCCCTCTCCAAGCAATAGAACTGACCATCATAAGAGTAAAGATGAAGAAGTGAATAGTAAGGAAAGCAAAAATGTACTCACTGGAATGTGTAAAGGAGATGCAGTTGTAACAGGTTTCTACAATATCAACCATTTCAACCAAGTCACCAAAGCAGATGGACAAGGAGACCTATGTGAGGTAGAGGCACTGCATGTCAGAGAAAACGGCAATGATAATGAGGGCAAGACATGTATATGGTACTTTCTAGGTGCCAAGAGTGTGTGTGTGTGTGTGTGTGTGTGTGTGTGTGTATGTTTGTGTGTGTGTGTGAATTAAATGAGTAGTACATAATCTACTTAACAAAAAGAGACTATAATCTGCTTAAATATTTCTCGTAACTAATACCAGTGAAGGGACAATCTAAACTAAAAGTAATATTGAGATAAAGTCAAATCAGTTTGATGTTACCCTGG